ATGATAATGGTGAGTATGATAGAAAAGTATGTCGACTACATAAGTTTCTTTATAGACTGAAACAGTCACCACGCTGATTCCCTCGCTTTTGTGGTGTAGTTGTACGTTTAGAGTTCACCAAATATCATTCTGATCATNCATAAGTTTCTTTATAGACTGAAACAGTCACCACGAGTCTGATTCTCTCGCTTTTGTGGTGTAGTTGTACGTTTAGAGTTCACCAAATATCATTCTGATCATACCTGCTTCATTCGAAGAAATACTTCTTGACAGTATGTCATCCTTTTGGTATATGTTGATGATATTATTATTACTAGAGATGAAATTTCTAAAACTGTGCAGGTTAAGATAGACCTTGGGAAAAACTTCGAAGTGAAGAACGTTGGATTTCTGCGATACTTTCTGGGGATTGAGGTTTCCCGTAGCAGGAGGGGTATTATTCTTTCTCAGAGAGTATGTTCTGAATCTTCTCNTCAAGGTAGACCTTGGGAAAACCTTCGAAGTGAAGAACGTTGGATTTCTGCGATACTTTCTGGGGATTGAGGTTTCCCNTTAAGATAGACCTTGGGAAAAACTTCGAAGTGAAGAACGTTGGATTTCTGCGATACTTTCTGGGGATTGAGGTTTCCCGTAGCAGGAGGGGTATTATTCTTTCTCAGAGAGTATGTTCTGAATCTTCTCTCAGACACTAGAATGCTGGGGTGCAAACCGACATCATCTTCTATGATTCTAATCCTGAAGTTTACCGTTGAAGGATAGGAGTTGAGAGATTCAATTGTCTATCAGAGGTTGGTAGGTAGACTTATCTACCTAGGCAACACTAGGCCGAATATTTCATTCGCTGTCAGCCGAGTTAGTCAATTCATGCATAGACTATGTCAGCCTTATCTTAATACAGTTTATCATATTTTTCGGTATCTCAAGTCTTGTCCTGGACTTGGGTGGTTCTATGCATCAAGATCTCAGACTGGTTCTCTAGCCTGTTATTCAGATTCAGATTATGGGGGACCATATAACGGTTGATCTACTACGGGCTTCTGTACTTTTCGAGGAACTCACCTTATCTCTTAGAAGAGTAAGAAGCAGTCAATTACCTCTCGCTCATTAGCAGAGATAGAGTATCGGACACTGACACTTGGCACATGTGAGATTATCTGACTACGATCGATTCTTTGCGAGTTGGAATTTTCAGTGACTTCTTCATCTACATTATATTGTGATAATCGATCTNATAGAGTATCGGACACTGACACTTGGCACATGTGAGATTATCTAACTACGATCGATTCTTTGCGAGTTGGGATTTTCAGTGACTTCTTCATCTACATTATATTGTGATAATCGATCTGCTATTCAGCTCGTTTCTGACTCTATATTACACGAAAGGACAAAGCATATAAAAATTGATGTTCACTTTCTTTGGAAAAAGGTTAACAGTGGTATTGTCACTCCATCGTTTGTGAGAACAAATGATCAAGTTGCAGATGTTTTCATCAAACCTGTCACCTATCCATTCTTCGGGACTTCGTTGTCAAGCTTGGCTTAGTTAACATTTTTGTGCCTAGCTTAAGGGGGAGTGTTGGAGTTATAAAAACCTAGGTTATTAGGGTTTATTAGAGTTTTTTCCTTTTTATCTTTATTGTGACTTTTATTGGCTCTATATACAGGGGTTCCGCACTTAGTTTGTATCATTTTCACTCACATCTATCTCAAGTAAAAGAAAAGAGATTNAGGTTAACAGTGGTATTGTCACTCCATCGTTTGTGAGAACAAGTGATCAAGTTGCAGATGTTTTCATCAAACCTGTCACCTATCCATTCTTCGGGACTCCGTTGTCAAGCTTGGCTTAGTTAACATTTATGTGTCTAGCTTAAGGGGGAGTGTTGGAGTTATAAAAACCTAGGTTATTAGGGTTTATTAGAGTTTTTTCCTTTTTATCCTTATTGTGACTTTTATTGGCTCTATATACAAGGGTTCTGCACTTAGTTTGTATCATTTTCACTCACATCTATCTCAAGTAAAAGAAAAGAGATTGAAACATTAGGAGGCATGCTTAAAAGATGAGAGAATGAGGAACATGAAAGGAGTAGTTCTACCTTTGCAGCCAGTTTGAACATTTGCCAGTTTGCATGGCTGTAGGGATAAGTTTGCTAATCAACATATTCCTATTGTTGGATAGTGAAGGAATTACTTCTTTGTCTCCCTTCAAAAAAGGATCAGCTGACAATGGCTATGGAAGAGGCTTCCCAGAGGTTGTCTCTTTCGATATATCTCAAGAAGAGGAGTTTCTGCGGTACCTTGTTCGTAGATGATAGGCATCATAGGCACATCAGTAGCTACTTGAGNGCAGCCAGTTTGAACATTTGCCAGTTTGCATGGCTGTAGGGATAAGTTTGCTAATCAACATATCCCTATTGTTGGATAGTGAAGGAATTACTTCTTTGTCTCCCTTCAAAAAAGGATCAGCTGACAATGGCAATGGAAGAGGCTTCCCAGAGGTTGTCTCTTTCAATGTATCTCAAGAAGAGGAGTTTATGCGGTACCTTGTTCGTAGATGATAGGCATCATAGGCACATCAGTAGCTACTTGAGAAGACTTAACCCTCTTTGAGGGGTGAGCAGTAGTGTCATGAGCATTGATAGCAGATTGTAGCAATTTCGAAGAAGAATCTCTTTACCTTTTCTTCTTTTGCTCCTCAATTAGGACAGTCTTACCCTTATTTGGATTTACAAGAGGAGAAGGAACAGAAGTAGGAGCCTAAATTGTTTTCCTTTTTCGACTGCAGGAGTTTCATTTACTTGTCGATTGTCAAAACACAGCCTAGACACGTGTTCATCTATAGAATTGATGAAAATTAAGGCCGAAATATTCTATCATCACTTTGAATAAAAGGAAGATTGACATGGACAGGAGATAAAATGAGAAAATCTAAAAGATTCTAATGATTTCTCACAAGCCTGAGAGGTCTGGTCAACTAGAACATTTGATCTTATTTTTATCCTCTCGCCTACACACTCATCGATAGAAGAATGCATGTAAGGGAAATGAATGTTTTGGGTCAGGCCAAACTGTCTAGCAAACTGACTAGGATTGCAGCTCTTGAAGCTATAGTTAGAAAATTTGGAGGCTTATACAAAGCCCCCACATGTAGATAACAAGGCAGCAAGACACTACCCTAGAAGACACGTTGCAATTCATTGGCCTCTTCAGAGCTAGTGTCTGGATTAGCAAAGAAAGGTTCAAGAAGGGAAAAAGAATAGAGGAACTTAGAAAATGGATAAAGAGTTTGATCTATCTTTGTTGTGAGTGAAAAAAGCTTTGAAATAAAAATTAAAAATTTTCTTTGTATATAAGGATGGGGAAGATAGGAATTGATGAGTATAGTTCAAATTTTCAAACTTGGGCCTAGGCAAATACTCCAAAGGCCAAATCTAAGGAAATAGGTATAGAGCCATCAAGCCCCCCACAGCTGACAGTGATCCTATTCTCTCTCAAATTAATAAGGCCCTTATATCATTACCCTAAAACAAAAAAGGCCAAGACAAGCTTCTTTCATTTAGCCAATTGAATGGCTACTCCCACATATTCCTTGATTACTTTAAAACCAAAAACATACAAAACAAATTGACAGAGCCAATAGAGAAAGAAGTCAACAAGCTCCACGAATGAAAGGGTAGGAGATTTAAAGGTAAAGAAGTGAATGATGAATTCACTATACCCTATGCTAGAAGGGATATTGTCAAAGTCATGATTAGTATCAGTAGAGATGTAAGTGTATCCATACCTATCGATGGGAGTCCCGTCAGCTGAACAATATCCAATGTTGTTGCGGACATCATGCCAACAGAAAGAAGTATGACATTGCATAACTGGACCAGAAAGATGCNGCGTATCCATACCTATCGATGGGAGTCCTGTCAGCTGAACAATATCCAATGTTGTTGGGGACATCATGCCAACAGAAAGAAGTATGACATTGCATAACTGGACCAGAAAGATGCGGCGGTGCTAACTAACCACCAATTCATTTGCATTTCGCAAGTGGAGATCATTTCAAAAAGACCTGAGCGTCTCCATCGAAGGGTGTAATGGGGCTCCAACTTTGCAACCTAATTGATCCAATGTGGATCAGGGTTAATCCATGAACGAAGAGGATTAGTTCCCTGATTCCAGGATTTCCATAGGATTTAGGATTGGTTCAGTAATAGAGTTTCACCTTCATAAACAAGGTAGTGGCCTGAGAATCCTTCACAGACATACGACTTGAAGGAGGGACAAACAGCAAGAGTCCCACTAGAACTAGAGGTAGGAATCAGAGTCCTATGATCTACAAAATCATGTGTTGTTAGTTTAATGTCAATAGGAAATCTAGGTAAGAATAGATTTCAGAGGAATATGAAGATAGAGGATTTTGCTTCTTTGGAGCCATCTCAAGCACCGGAAAGAACAATTGCCGGAAGAGGAGGAGGATAGGAAGCAAGAAGCAAACAAAAGAAAGCGAAATGAACTGTTTAGCCGTCAAAATTCTTTAAATAGGCATTTTAAAGAAATAATGGTCGGGATTGTTCATTCATTTAGGTTATTAATTAAACCTAAGCCTGTCAAAATTCAATATGACACGATTAACAAACACAAATCGACACGGATTAAGCGAGTTTTGGTGAGACCTTAACGGGTTCGGATAATAAACGGGTTGACCCGTTAAACACATTTAATAAACGAGTCGTGTTCGGGTGAGACCTATCAACTCATTTATAAACCGTTTACCTGTTTAAATAATATTAATATAATAATAAATTAACAATTATTTTAAAAAAATTAGCCATAATTTTTTTTTTAGTTACAGCCATATAGAAAATATATAAAGATATCTTTCCCTAATTCCAAAGTCCAAACCCTAATTCTTTCTACGTTGAAGCCTTCAACGTTGTGCCTCCAACTCTTCTGCTCATCTCTCTCTCTTTCTCTTTCTCTTTCTCTCTCTCTTGCTCGACAGCAACTCAGCGAGCAATTGGTGTCTTGGGCCAGGCTGACGACGGAGACTTCAAGCAAAGACATCGAGGGGATAAGTTTTTTTTTTCACTTTCTGTTGAATCCTTCCCATGGAACTTTCTGTTCAATTTCTGTTGAATCGAAGAAAAACTCCACCGCCATGGAACTTTTGCCAAAGTCTACCATGCTAGAAACATCAAGAATAACGAAAGTGTAGCTATTCAGGTCATTGACAAAGAATAACCCGAGCAACAAAAAAAAACCATTGAATGTGGTAAACATTCGGTATTGTGCCTATTGTTACATTTTCATATCACTAACTTAGTCGTGCAATATCTTTAAGGAAAAACTAAAGAAAAGATAAACATAGTCCTGCAATGTACCAATACCTGTAAAATACCAAAGCTTAATATTCTAGTTCATTTTTTTCATCAAGTATAATGAAAATTTTTGTTGGACATAACTAGTACCAAACTTTCCATTCAACAAAAACTGTTGATCAATTATTGGAGGTGTTGTCATATTTCTCAATGTTCTTATAGCAGTGGTGTGGATTGGGTTTTTTTTTTTGTTGAGACTATCGTAGTGATTCGCTAGTGACTCTAACTAGCTATTATAGCATAGTTATTGCTATTGTTATTACTAGTAATTATTATTAATTTTTTTTTTATAATTTGATCAACCAAATTAGAAGGNTATAGCATAGTTATTCCTATTGTTATTACTAGTAATTATTATTAATTTTTTTTTTATAATTTGATCAACCAAATTAGAAGGGTTGGTGTATGGGACAAGTTTAATAACTTATTAATTTGCTAGTACAACTTGTGAATCTAACTAAGAGATTTAGGCCCAATTTGGTTTCTGTACCACTTTCAACTTTCAAAGTATCACAGGAGACTCTAAAATTGGTACCTCCTTGATCAAATAACTTGTGAGATAAAAATTATGTTCACCTGGATCAAATATCTTATGAGATAGAAACTCGGTTTTTTTAAATCTTTTTTTTTGCCTTAAATAGATGGATTCTTCCGAACATAATATTATAGTTTCTGATAAAGAATATGAGGTCAGGCATGAATCTAAGTTAGATACAGCTCCAACAACACAGACATCAACTAGTACAACTATAGAAAAAAGTAAATCTAATTATAAGCGACAAAAGACTTCAATAGAATGGAAACACTTTATAGAATTAAATGAAAACTATCCGAGTGGCAAGAGGTGTGCATGTAATAATTGTGGTATCAAATATATATGCAAGTCTAGTCATGGAACTGGTAACATTCATATTCACATGGAAAAATGTGTGGAAAAAAACACTGGAGATATTGGACAATTACTTCTAAGTCAAGGTCAAAGATCTATATTAATGAGATGCACAAAATTTGATCTTGAAAAGTTTCGTGAGTTAGCGGTTGAAGCAATACTTAAAGCATGATTTACCATTTCAATTTGNATAATATTATAGTTTCTGATAAAGAATATGAGATCAGGCATGAATCTAAGTTAGATACAGCTCCAACAACACAAACATCAACTAGTACAACTATAGAAAAAAGTAAATCTAATTATAAGAGACAAAAGACTTCAATAGTATGGAAACACTTTATAGAATTAAATGAAAACTATCCGGGTGGCAAGAGGTGTGCATGTAATAATTGTGGTATCAAATATATATGCGAGTCTAGTCATGGAACTGGTAACATTCATATTCACATGGAAAAATGTGTGGAAAAAAACACTGGAGATATTGGACAATTACTTTTAAGTCAAGGTCAAAGATCTATATTAATGAGATGCACAAAATTTGATCTTGAAAAATTTCGTGAGTTAGCGGTTGAAGCAATACTTAAAGCATGATTTACCATTTCAATTTGTCCAATATGAGGGTATTAAAGCAATGTTTAAATATGCCAACGAGAATATCAAGATGCCTTCTAGGAATACTGCAAAGTCAGATGTGTTAAAAATGTACAAGAGAGAGAAGGATAAATTTAAAATTGTGTTGGGTTCCCTTCCTGGAAGAATTTGTTTGACTTCTGATTTGTGGACTTCTATATCGATTGATGGATAAGTTTCTCTCACAGCCCATTAGGCTGATCTAAATTAGAAGTTGCAGAAATTTTTTTTTAAACTTTTGTCACATTACCCCTCTCCACACTAGTGTTGCCTTGTCTAAAAAAATTTATACATTTTTTACTGATTGAAAAATTAAAAGAAATTGTTTTGTTTGACTTTAGATAATGCTTCTAGTAATAATTATTTTATTGAGTTGTTGAAGAGTCAACTTAACCTTAAAAATGTTCTCTTGAGGAATGGTGAGTTCTTCCATTTTTGGTGTTGTACACATATTTTTANTCCCCCCTCTCCACACTAGTGTTGCCTTGTCTAAAAAAATTTATACATTTTTTACTAATTGAAAAATTAAAAGAAATTGTTTATTTGACTTTAGATAATGCTTCTAGTAATAATTATTTTATTGAGTTGTTGAAGAGTCAACTTAACCTTAAAAATGTTCTCTTGAGGAATGGTGAGTTCTTCCATTTTTGGTGTTGTACACATATTTTTAATTTGATAGTCTAAGATGGACTTAAAGAAATTGATGAATCAGTGATAAAAATTCAAGAAAACATCAAATATGTTAAAGGTTCATNGGATGGTGAGTTCTTCCATTTTTGGTGTTGTACACATATTTTTAATTTGATAGTCCAAGATGGACTTAAAGAAATTGATGAATCAGTGATAAAAATTCAAGAAAACATCAAATATGTTAAAGGTTCATCGGGGAGAAAAAAGAAGTTCATGGATTTTATTACTCAAGTTTCATTACAGAGTAAAAAAGATTTGCGAAGAGATGTTCCAACTAGGTGGAACTCAACTTATATTATGCTTAACAGTGCATTTTTTTATCGTCGTGCATTTATTTATTTACAGTTAAGTGATACTAATTATAGACATTGTTCTTCTCAAGAAGAATGGAACAAAGTAGAGAAGATTTCTNAGGAGATGTTCCAACTAGGTGGAACTCAACTTATATTATGCTTAACAGTGCATTTTTTTATCGTCGTGCATTTTTTTATTTACAGTTAAGTGATGCTAATTATAGACATTGTTCTTCTCAAGAAGAATGGAACAAAGTAGAGAAGATTTCTAATTTGTTGAGGGTTTTTCATAAAGTTACTTGCTTATTCTCTGATACAACATATCTCACAGCAAATTAGTACTTCCCCCAAGTGTTCCTAATTCAACATACTTTGAAAGAGACATTGACAAATAATGATAGTTTTATGAGGAAGATGAGAAATCATATGTATGTCAAGTTTGACAAGTATTGGTCAAAATATAGTGTGATTCTTTCAATTGCCAGCATCTTAGATCCTCGGTATAAAATTCAGTTTATAGATTAGGCTTATTCAAGACTTTATGGTGGTGATTCCTATGAGTTCAAGTGTGTTCAGAATACTTTATTTGAACTCCTTAAATTGTACTCTATCAACTTGTCACATGTTGTTCCAAGTGCTTTAAGTAGTGAGAAACAAGTTAATGGACTCATGGTCTTGATGATTCCGAAAGCCTTTTTCAGGTAAAATATAATTTAGTTTGTTTGAATTGAATTCAATCAAGGTTGTTTATTTTATACTCGTAATGATTTTGTACAAAATGTAGGATTTTGAAAAACGTGAAAAAAAAGATTCTCCTATTTCTCGAATGACTGAGTTGCAGTTGTATTTTAATAAAAAAAATTTTGATCAAAAGAATGACTAGGATATTCTAACCTTTTGGAAGTGAGAGTAGTTTCGGCACCTTATACTGTCTCGGTTGGCTTGTGATGTGATGATNAAAAGATTCTCCTATTTCTCGAATGACTGAGTTGCAGTTGTATTTTAATAAAAAAAAAATTGATCAAAAGAATGACTAGGATATTCTAACCTTTTGGAAGTGAGAGTAGTTTCGGCACCTTATACTGTCTCGGTTGGCTTGTGATGTGATGATAATTTCTATTTTTACAGTTGTATCTAAATCTACATTTAGTACCAGTGGTAGAGTTTTAAATAAGTATCGAAGTTCACTTTTACCAGAAATTGTCTAACATTTGATTTGTAGTAGAGATTGGATTCATGTGAAGAACAATAAGTTTGATTCCATCTTTACTAGGATTATTTTTCTGATTATCCTAACTCATGTGATCATTGATTCATTTATGTTTTGCTGTGCTTAGTTATAGATGATTCTAGTGATGATTCGGAAGGAAAAATAGATGATGTTGTTTTGAATCAAAATATGAAGTCTAATAAAGCTAAATCCATTTAATGTTATAATTCTATATCTATCTTTGATCATGACTAAAGAGTGGTATTGAAATATGTAGCTTGTAATGCCAAGTTTTTGTTACTTATCTAGTTATGAATCTATTTAATTATTAATGTTATATAATATTTCATTTTAATTTGTTTAGGACATAAGAATTTGGTTGTTGAATCTACTTGTTGTCGTAAAGGTCGAGATTTGATCTCTTTGACGGAATTTTGTGAATCATGGAATTTGGTAGATTTTGATTTTGTGTGTTCTTGATGTAATTTGATTATTTGAGATTGTGGTTTGTAATATGAATGTTCTTTGATATAATTGTGTTATTTCGGATTATATTTATGATTTATAATATGGTTGTTGATGGGATTTGAATATTTTGGATTGTAGTTTGTAGTTTGTAGTTTGTAATACAGTGTGTTATCTCTAAATATCATATTTTTTGTGNGATTTGAATATTTTGGATTGTAGTTTGTAGTTTGTAATACAGTGTGTTATCTCTAAATATCATATTTTTTGTGTTAGTTTTATAAAAGTTATATAACATTTTTAAATAAACAGGTAAATGGGTCAAACGGCTAGTTTATCGTGTTAACCCGACCCTACACAACACGACTCGTTTAAAATTAAATGTGTTAAACGAGTTATGTCATGTTACCCGTTTATTAAACGGTTCGTGTTTAGGTTTTTTACCAATTTATTAAACGTGTCATATACAGGTTGATATGTTTTTCACCCATCACCCGTTTAACCCGACACGTAACCGTTTAACCTGACACGTTTGACACCCCTAATTAAACCCAATTAAATGAGAAGGCATTATTAGACATAAAATAAATAAATCTTATGAGTATTCAATATATTGACATTTGGCATTTTGGATGCAATAAGAAGATGTCACGTGATAGAATCCGAAGAAAAGCGGGAGATGTCAGCTAAAATCACATTTGAAAAGAAAAAATAACTAATTGAACCATCGATGGAGGCAAAGCACTCAAGCACAATGGCTATAAAAGGCAAGTAGGGGAGAAAATGAACGAATACATTCAAACTCCCATAAGATCCATGATCTTGGCATTTTTAGGAGTAGTGTCAGATTAGTTTTAGGAGCAGTTATTACTGCAATCAGGGCTGTTAATCTAAATTTTTCTGCAACCGAAGTCCCTTCGATTGAATTAATAAAAGAATCATCTTTTATTAGTTCCTTGTTCCATGTATTTGTATCCAAATTCATCCAAAAAAATTCTAAAATAAGGCATTTGAACCCCTCACAAACAATCACCTGAGAACTGTTTGTTGATTGGATTTCTTTTGTCGATAACAACAGATTTTGAAGTAACAGTGTCGATAGAGACCAAATAATTGCAAAGCTCAGGGTGAGAATCAAATTCAAATTTGAAGATTCAAGATTCCTTGAGAAAAGCTAAAGGTAGTTAAATAAATGCTTCAAGAGGTAACACTTAATCTTTTCTATAGATTTGTGGTTCTCAGTTTGTATTAAGAGCAATGCTATTGGGACATAATTTATGAACATAATTTGATGACAAAATGAGTTATCACCAATGATATGATAATAAACTCATTAATGCTACAATGGGACCCATCATTAAATGCATTTCACTATTATTTCATTGGTGACAACTCATTATTTCCNACTAAGAGCAATGCTATTGGGACATAATTTATAAACATAATTTGATGACAAAATGAGTTATCACCAATGATATGATAATAAACTCATTAATGCTACAATGAGACCCATCATTAAATGCATTTCACTATTATTTCATTGGTGACAACTCATTATTTCCTCAAAATTATGTCCTTCAATTATGTCTGAATATAATTAGTGTTGTATTAAATATGAAAAGATGTTAGAATGAGGAACAAATTTTAATTTTTTAAATTCTGGTGTGTTTATTATATGATTTTTTTTATAAAGAACTAACAAATTAAAAACAAGATCAAGCCGTGTTTTTGTNTGTCTGAATATAATTAGTGTTGTATTAAATATGAAAAGATGCTAGAATGAGGAACAAATTTTAATTTTTTAAATTCTGGTGTGTTTATTATATGATTTTTTTTATAAAGAACTAACAAATTAAAAACAAGATCAAGCCGTGTTTTTGTAGTTATCATTGGTTTTTTTTGGATAATTTTGCTCACCCTTTCAGATAAATTATGCACTTCTGCTGCTCGGCTTCTCTTGGAACCTATACCTCCTCGAGCAGGAGCCACTTTTCTGGCACCCACCGATTCTTCTTCAACATCCTGCAGATTATATTAGATTTTTTGTTACATGGAAATAAGAGGAAACCATAGGAGACCAAGAAACAGGGAGAATGGTGGAAATTCAACATTTCAACTTACTCCACTTCGGCAATCAGAATCATCGGTATTCCGGCATTTTCTTTTGAGAGTGTTTGTTGGATCATTAGAAGCTCTCTCTACACTATTATCTGAGCACGCAGAAGAAGCAATCAATGGCTCCACTGTTTTTTCACCACCTGGCACTCCTTTAGTCAAGCTTGCACTAAGAACTTCATTAGTAGACTTATCATTCTTGATGGCATCTTCCTGGTAAATAGCATCAGATTGCTCAGCATTAGGAGACTCTAGGGGTGGCTCAATCTCTGATTGTTTTGAATCTACCTTGGCTAACACCAAATTAGGATGACTGTGTAACCCCATTCCCTTATGTAAACTACTGCTCGGATCAATGAGTGCGGATTTGGAAGGACTCCTACCACCTGCNGGTGGCTCAATCTCTGATTGTTTTGAATCTACCTTGGCTAACACCAAATTAGGATGACTGTGTAACCCCATTCCCTTTTGTAAACTACTGCTCGGATCAATGAGTGCGGATTTGGAAGGACTCCTACCACCTGCTGCAGACTCGTTATTCATATTTCCCATTATTTGAATATGTGACAAACCCGGAGCAGCCACAGGAGCAACGTTTTGAAGATTAGCTCTAACAACAGCAGCNGCTGCAGACTCGTTATTCATATTTCCCATTATTTGAATATGTGACAAACCCGGAGCAGCCACAGGAGCAACGTTTTGAAGATTAGCTCTAACAACAGCAGCTGGTCTTGAGAAATGGGAGAAGTTTAACAAAGTGGAGGTACTACATGGCAGCCCTGAATCTTGCTTCTGCATGTTCATGCTAGGAAAACCACCTGATGAAGCTAGGCCCTGAAGCAAATCCCCACAATCTGTTGGTTGGCTAGTGCTGGTATTGTTATTGCCAACCATATCTGAAACTCCTGTTCCAAGAGTTGGAAATGCAGTTTGGCCTTCCTGTGTTAACCACGGATACAATTCCCTGGTTCTTGAAGAAGAAACCTTTGATGCATTTCCCTGTTCTAAATTTACACCATTTTGTACATACAGATTTTGTGAATCACTAAGTTTCTGGTTACAACTATTTCTCTTACCTGTCAATCTAAAACTACTTTGGGTGGAGGGCTCATTTACAGTGACACACGATATCTCAGGTAAGAGTTCAGAATAATAATCCTGTTGCAGAGTATTGTCAACTTGATAATTCAACCAAGGTAACATGTCATCATCTTGACTCAAACCCATTTCACCTGAAGGCACCAACATTGGAATATCATTTACAATAGACTCCATTGGCCCAAACTTCCCCAACTTTGAAGTGCTAGCATTCCCTGTATCCTTATCTCGAAATCTGGGTGAGTGCGATGGCAAGTTGGTAAAAGTAGGGTTCTTCCTAGTTCTACTCGACTGACCTTGCATCATAATCTGACCATTTTCGCAAACCAGCTCAAAAACGTCACTATCAGGTCTGCATCCAAACCCACAAAAATTTTAATATATCCAACGATAAAAGTACATCGACGAAGGAAAAGAGAAAATTAGGAATCAAATAGATTGAATTGTACAAGTATAAGAGGTCAGATAATAAAATAGTATATAGAGTGAGACTGTACTTACACAAAAGATAGATCAGTTGGGCATGTTGCTTTCTGTTTGGTAGATTCAAGCTTCGATTTAGCCATTCTATAAAATTCAGAGAGGGGCATGATGGAGAATTGATACAACTGCTAACTCAGAATTGCCTCGAGTTTAATCATTTTGCCATTTTTTGTGTCCTACTGCCTACAAATACATCTAACATCCACAGTTCAGAGAACCCCTAACCTGCAAAACAGGGTAATCTCAAACAACATAAGCAAAACGCAATCACCAACAAAATATCCTGACATCAAAACAGTGACCTTATCCCACAGTCCCACTACTATAATATACCTCTTAACTAATGTCAAAATCAGTGAAATATATAAAATCCATAACAGTGGTAAATATATAAACAATTGCCAGACTACAATAACTTTCACCTGTATTCAAGGACATATATATATGATATCTTCACTTGGCTAATGTCTTAATCACTAAAAAATTTAAACCCACAACAGTAATTAAAATATAAACAACCATCAGTCAAATCTAATTCTTTAATGGTAGCATAAGCCACTAAAAAACCGTCAAATTGAGCTCCTTTGTGTTAAAATAATCCAATCTTTAGAGTCATTTTCAATCATTAGAAGAAGAACAAAATAACCAATAAGGTTTCTCAATTTAATGATTTGTTTAAAGAAACCAACCGTTTTTTTAAGCATTATTCGAGCTCAAACTCAAAAAAATTCCCTCTTTGAATCATCAACTTCAATCAAAAATCCAAGATCAGCTCAAACAGTACCACTACCTTTAGAAACATCAAAACCATCACAAGAGATTCTTATTTTACTGAAAATTCGAGTCTTCCAACCTCATTTCTCAAGCTTTGAACTTCTGGGCAACGATGAACTCTCGAACCCACCAACAAACGCTAATTCACATGCTTTACATAGCTTTCCAAAAATTGCAATCTTCACAAACCAGCTGTCTTTGAGCTCCACTAAAAAGTACTGTACTTTTCGAGAATATGTACAGTATATATATATATATATNACGTAACCGTTTAACCTGACACGTTTGACACCCCTAATTAAACCCAATTAAATGAGAAGGCATTATTAGACATAAAATAAATAAATCTTATGAGTATTCAATATATTGACATTTGGCATTTTGGATGCAATAAGAAGATGTCACGTGATAGAATCCGAAGAAAAGCGGGAGATGTCAGCTAAAATCACATTTGAAAAGAAAAAATAACTAATTGAACCATCGATGGAGGCAAAGCACTCAAGCACAATGGCTATAAAAGGCAAGTAGGGGAGAAAATGAACGAATACATTCAAACTCCCATAAGATCCATGATCTTGGCATTTTTAGGAGTAGTGTCAGATTAGTTTTAGAAGCAGTTATTACTGCAATCAGGGCTGTTAATCTAAATTTTTCTGCAACCGAAGTCCCTTCGATTGAATTAATAAAAGAATCATCTTTTATTAGTTCCTTGTTCCATGTATTTGTATCCAAATTCATCCAAAAAAATTCTAAAATAAGGCATTTGAACCCCTCACAAACAATCACCTGAAAACTGTTTGTTGATTGGATTTCTTTTGTCGATAACAACAGATTTTGAAGTAACAGTGTCGATAGAGACCAAATAATTGCAAGGCTCAGGGTGAGAATCAAATTCAAATTTGAAGATTCAAGATTCCTTGAGAAAAGCTAAAGGTAGTTAAATAAATGCTTCAAGAGGTAACACTTAATCTTTTCTATAGATTTGTGGTTCTCAGTTTGTATTAAGAGCAATGCTATTGGGACATAATTTATGAACATAATTTGATGACAAAATGAGTTATCACCAATGATATGATAATAAACTCATTAATGCTACAATGGGACCCATCATTAAATGCATTTCACTATTATTTCATTGGTGACAACTCATTATTTCCTCAAAATTATGTCCTTCAATTATAATTAGTGTTGTATTAAATATGAAAAGATGTTAGAATGAGGAACAAATTTTAATTTTTTAAATTCTGGTGTGTTTATTATATGATTTTTTTTATAAAGAACTAACAAATTAAAAACAAGATCAAGCCGTGTTTTTGTAGTTATCATTGGTTTTTTTTGGATAATTTTGCTCACCCTTTCAGATAAATTATGCACTTCTGCTGCTCGGCTTCTCTTGGAACCTATACCTCCTCGAGCAGGAGCCACTTTTCTGGCACCCACCGATTCTTCTTCAACATCCTGCAGATTATATTAGATTTTTTGTTACATGGAAATAAGAGGAAACCATAGGAGACCAAGAAACAGGGAGAATGGTGGAAATTCAACATTTCAACTTACTCCACTTCGGCAATCAGAATCATCGGTATTCCGGCATTTTCTTTTGAGAGTGTTTGTTGGATCATTAGAAGCTCTCTCTACACTATTATCTGAGCACGCAGAAGAAGCAATCAATGGCTCCACTGTTTTTTCACCACCTGGCACTCCTTTAGTCAAGCTTGCACTAAGAACTTCATTAGTAGACTTATCATTCTTGATGGCATCTTCCTGGTAAATAGCATCAGATTGCTCAGCATTAGGAGACTCTAGGGGTGGCTCAATCTCTGATTGTTTTGAATCTACCTTGGCTAACACCAAATTAGGATGACTGTGTAACCCCATTCCCTTTTGTAAACTACTGCTCGGATCAATGAGTGCGGATTTGGAAGGACTCCTACCACCTGCTGCAGACTCGTTATTCATATTTCCCATTATTTGAATATGTGACAAACCCGGAGCAGCCACAGGAGCAACGTTTTGAAGATTAGCTCTAACAACAGCAGCTGGTCTTGAGAAATGGGAGAAGTTTAACAAAGTGGAGGTACTACATGGCAGCCCTGAATCTTGCTTCTGCATGTTCATGCTAGGAAAACCACCTGATGAAGCTAGGCCCTGAAGCAAATCCCCACAATCTGTTGGTTGGCTAGTGCTGGTATTGTTATTGCCAACCATATCTGAAACTCCTGTTCCAAGAGTTGGAAATGCAGTTTGGCCTTCCTGTGTTAACCACGGATACAATTCCCTGGTTCTTGAAGAAGAAACCTTTGATGCATTTCCCTGTTCTAAATTTACACCATTTTGTACATACAGATTTTGTGAATCACTAAGTTTCTGGTTACAACTATTTCTCTTACCTGTCAATCTAAAACTACTTTGGGTGGAGGGCTCATTTACAGTGACACACGATATCTCAGGTAAGAGTTCAGAATAATAATCCTGTTGCAGAGTATTGTCAACTTGATAATTCAACCAAGGTAACATGTCATCATCTTGACTCAAACCCATTTCACCTGAAGGCACCAACATTGGAATATCATTTACAATAGACTCCATTGGCCCAAACTTCCCCAACTTTGAAGTGCTAGCATTCCCTGTATCCTTATCTCGAAATCTGGGTGAGTGCGATGGCAAGTTGGTAAAAGTAGGGTTCTTCCTAGTTCTACTCGACTGACCTTGCATCATAATCTGACCATTTTCGCAAACCAGCTCAAAAACGTCACTATCAGGTCTGCATCCAAACCCACAAAAATTTTAATATATCCAACGATAAAAGTACATCGACGAAGGAAAAGAGAAAATTAGGAATCAAATAGATTGAATTGTACAAGTATAAGAGGTCAGATAATAAAATAGTATATAGAGTGAGACTGTACTTACACAAAAGATAGATCAGTTGGGCATGTTGCTTTCTGTTTGGTAGATTCAAGCTTCGATTTAGCCATTCTATAAAATTCAGAGAGGGGCATGATGGAGAATTGATACAACTGCTAACTCAGAATTGCCTCGAGTTTAATCATTTTGCCATTTTTTGTGTCCTACTGCCTACAAATACATCTAACATCCACAGTTCAGAGAACCCCTAACCTGCAAAACAGGGTAATCTCAAACAACATAAGCAAAACGCAATCACCAACAAAATATCCTGACATCAAAACAGTGACCTTATCCCACAGTCCCACTACTATAATATACCTCTTAACTAATGTCAAAATCAGTGAAATATATAAAATCCATAACAGTGGTAAATATATAAACAATTGCCAGACTACAATAACTTTCACCTGTATTCAAGGACATATATATATGATATCTTCACTTGGCTAATGTCTTAATCACTAAAAAATTTAAACCCACAACAGTAATTAAAATATAAACAACCATCAGTCAAATCTAATTCTTTAATGGTAGCATAAGCCACTAAAAAACCGTCAAATTGAGCTCCTTTGGGTTAAAATAATCCAATCTTTAGAGTCATTTTCAATCATTAGAAGAAGAACAAAATAACCAATAAGGTTTCTCAATTTAATGATTTGTTTAAAGAAACCAACCGTTTTTTTAAGCATTATTCGAGCTCAAACTCAAAAAAATTCCCTCTTTGAATCATCAACTTCAATCAAAAATCCAAGATCAGCTCAAACAGTACCACTACCTTTAGAAACATCAAAACCATCACAAGAGATTCTTATTTTACTGAAAATTCGAGTCTTCCAACCTCATTTCTCAAGCTTTGAACTTCTGGGCAACGATGAACTCTCGAACCCACCAACAAACGCTAATTCACATGCTTTACATAGCTTTCCAAAAATTGCAATCTTCACAAACCAGCTGTCTTTGAGCTCCACTAAAAAGTACTGTACTTTTCGAGAATATGTACAGTATATATATATATATATATATATATATATGATGTGAGAGAGACAGAGAGATTTTAGCACTCGTAGAAGCCGGCGAAAGGCTTGGGAATTCGCAGGTGACGGATGGAAGAAGGCAGGCACATAAACAAAAGACTATTATGACTCGAGGATTCTACGTTGGCCTTTAACTCTGGTTAAAAGCCACCCAAATCCAGTGCCCATTGTTTATAATCATTTTTTATATGTTACCAAAAATTATCTATTAAACTCCCATTTATAAATACTAAGTTGTTGAATTACTAATATATAATTTACTATCATGTAAAATTTAAAAAATCCCACTCCTATTATTATTAATCTCTTCAGGCTTCTCTAACATAATCTAATTTAATATAATTATAAAGCTACAGTAGATTGAAATGTTGTGACACCTCATATGTGTAATATTCTCCTTGGAAAGCAAAATACTAATATTAAATGCATTTTTTAATATTTACAACTAAAATGCACAAAGGTTAAATCTATTGTAGACTTGTACTAGAGATATTGTTAAATAAAATAATTTTATTTTTATTAACAACACCTGGACTACTAACAATTAATATGAAGTGGGTGGTAGTCTAATGACTCCTTCACTATCTCCTTTTCCTATAAACTTTTCAATAGTAACCAAAACAAAAATAATAGCAGTGGAGTTGGACCATGTTAGAAGTACATGCCATGTATTATTTTGGAGATGTGTATCATAGAATTTTTAAATTGGAAAAAAAATGTTCTATTTGACTGTTTTGGATGAGGAGGGAGTTTGCTAAGACTATAAGAATGCCTTCTGCTGGCATTTTTTGTGGGTTATTTTCGAAAGTTATATCGTTGTACAATTAATTAGAATTTGATGATGCACAAAATAGTTTTGCATACCACATGTCAAGTGTGAGTAATAAATGCAAGAAAATAAAATCAGGAGATGGAGAGACACAGGCAATTTATAGTGGTTCGGTTAGCTCGACCTACGTCCACTCTTCAATGGCTCTGGTTGTCGGGTATTTTATTAACTCAAGGGTGTGGGGAGTAGAGAGTACACGTTTTGAGGGAAAGGAAAGAGTCGTGCTCAGGTAAAGTATGATCTGCCCCCCAAGTGCTAGTGGGGCTTATAATTTATAGTCGCCCTTCTAATAGATTTGGGCAAGATATTAATAAGTAATTAGCTAGTTTGTTGGATCTGGCGAGCTCTTCTCAACGTGCTAGATAGCTGCAGTGCTCTTTATGAGATTCGGTCAAAGGATGAGGTGGGGTGTTGACCATCTCCAGAGCAGCGAGGATAAGGCTTTAAATGACCTTACTTGCTCTCTTAGCTCCTTGAGCTGCTGAGCTTGACCGGGCTGACCACACTAATGAGCTTGACCAGGTTGGCCACACTGGGCTGAATTCGCTGGATCTCTTGAAGTCGGACTATAAACTTGAATTGGGTTTATAACATGAATTGGGCCTTTGGACATGATCCATCATTTGCCCCCCAATGCCCTATGTCCAATGGAACTTAAAAAGAAGGGCATTCAATTAAGTTTGAATTTTCGGCTAACTGACACAATCGAAAAAAATTCGAGAGGTCAAAACATCTGTTTCCAAGTCTTTTTTGGACTTTTTACAGAATCAATCACAACCAAAGTCTGTGAGTCTTGTAGGGCTCGTCGAGAGCTTCGATTTGATATATAATAAGCCCCTATTTGAAATTACAGAGTAAAATTTATGGTCAAAACTTCGAGCAGGTGAGCCTTGGGCGACCTAGGGGTGCAGCCTGGGCGCCGGCAGGGGTTGCCTGGGCGCGAGCCTGGGCATCGAATGTCTGGGCATCAGGAGATGGAGGTGCCACTTTAGGCGCTGATCTGGGCACCTTTGGAGCTGTTTTGTGCAACTTTAGAGGGCCAGATAGCATTGAATTGCCCCGTTTGGGCGAGCAAAGGTGGTCAGACACCTTTCCAAGTGCTGAGCTGTCTTGTTTGGGCAAGCATAGAACATCAAGCACCCTTCTAGGTGCTGGGCTGCCTCGTTTGGGCGAGCACATAAGATCAGACACCTCTCCAGGTACTGGGCTGCCTAGTTTGGGGAGCACATAGGATCAGCCATCTCTCCAGGTGCTGGGCTGCCTCGTTTGGGTAAGCACATAGGATCAGACACCTTTCCAGGTGCTGGGCTGCCTCGTTTGGGCGAGCACATAGGATTAGGCACCTCTCCAGATGCTGGGCTACCTCGTTTGGGGAGCACATAGGATCAGACAGCTCTCCAAGTGCTGGGATGTCTCATTTAGGCGAGCACATAGGATCAGACACCTCTCTAAGTGTTGGGCTGCCTCGTTTGGGGGAGCATAGAGCATTAGACACCTCTACTTGGCTGCCTTGTTTGGATGCTTTGGGTAAGCCTGGTTGTGATGACAAAAATAATGTTATTCAAAACATTAAAATATCTCACATAATTACTTGTAGGGAGAGGTAGGCTGCTTGCGCGAGAGAAAAAACAGAGTTAGAGAACTACTCGTGAGAGAGCTACACCTTTTGAGACCTAGCTTTTGGCAACCCATGAGCGGGTCTTTAAGCTTGAGGTATAGGCTGTCTGTTTGAGAACAGCACAGAAGCCAAGTTTTTGGTGACCTGTGAAAGAGCCACTCAGTTAGAGATATAGGCTGTCTGTTTAAGAACAGTGCAGAGGTCAAGTTTTTGGTAACCCGCTAGAGAGTCGCTAAGCTGAATATTGAGACTGCATGTTTAAGAACAGTGTAGAAGCCAATCTTTTGGCGCGAGAGAGTTGCTAAGCTTGACATTGAGGCTGTCTGTTTGAGAACAACGCAAAGGCCAATCTTTTGGCGACCAGCGAGAGAGTCGCTAAGTTTGATATTGAGGCTGCCTGTTTGAGAACAGCGCAAAGGTCAAGCTTTTGGCAACCCGTGAGAGAGTCTCTAAGTTGGATACTGAGGCTGCCTGTTTGAGAACAGTGCAGAGGTAGGTCAAGCTTCTGGTGATCTGCAAGATGATTCACCTTGCTTAGACCTATTGATTTCCTCAGCATTCATATATTTTTGAGCATTTACCAATAGTTCTGGCATGTTCTTTGGTAGTCGCTTCATTACTGAAATAAGAAATTTGGATAAGCGGAGGCCTCCCAAGAAGGCGGTCATCCTTACTTTGTCATCAGGCTCATCAACTTGGAGTACCTCCTTGTTAAAACGAGTAAGGTAGCTCTTTAGGTTCTCTTCCCGCTCCTGCTTTATGCTAAGCAGATGGGTGACAGGCTTCTAGTGGCGACGCCCCCTAATGAAATGCGATACGAATGACCTACTCAGCTCAGCAAAGGAGGCGATGGAGGCTGGGGGGAGCTTAGTGAACCATTGTCGTGCGGACCCCTTCAATGTGGTTGGGAACACCCTGCACATGATTTTATCTGGGACATTGTGCAATTGCATCAGAGTCTTGTAGGTGTCGAGGTGGTCTAGTGGATCTTTTATTCCGTCAAAGGTCTCCACGGAGGGCATTTTAAGCTTTTGAGAGAGGGGGTAGTTCACCACGTCAGGTTTGAAAGGCGTGTCCTGTTCGCCTTATGAGTAGTCCACTGTCTCGAGTTCCTACGCCTTCATGGCATTGAAGATGTCACCCAGTTAATTTTGTACTTCCTTAATTTTCTCGTCCCAGTAATTGGGGGCTCCTCTAGAATGATCATGGAAATGACTCTCATGCTCCATACTTTGGTTTTCGTCATCATCTTCTTACAGATGAGGGTCTTCACCATAGAAAATAAGAGGAGCTGGAGGTCTCTCATGATGGGCTCCCCTGTGTGGGCTGCCCAAAGGGACTCCAAAGGGGACGCGCCAGACCTGCATGGGTGCCCAAATGAGGAGTAGCAAGTTGTGGAGCTCCTTGATGTCCAGGGCGCAAAGCTCCTTGATGCCCAAGGCGTGCAGCTCCTTGATGCCCAAGGCGTGTAGCTCTTTGATGTCCAGTGAGCATGAGTTGCAGGATCTGTTGGTTTTGGGCCACTAGCTGCTACATGGTCTCCAACATTTGCTGAGAATTTGGAACTAGAGCATTTGAGACAGGGTTGGTAGGTGGAGGAGCAACCTCCTCCTCTCGTTGTGAATTTTCCTCAAGTTGATTCATGGATCTAGTGGTGATCGTCATAGGTTCAACAGAGAAAGTGTTTAAAAGTGAGAATTTAGTCGTTCTCACAGACGGTGTCAAACTAATGATGCACAAAATAATTTTTGCACACCACCTGCCAAGTGTGAGTAATAAATGCAAGAAAATAATATCAGGAAATGGAGAGACACAAACAATTTATAGTGGTTTGGTTAGCTCGACCTACGTCCATTCTTTAATGACTCTGGTTGCCGGGTATTTTATTAACTCAAGGGTGTGGAGAGCAGAGAGTACAAGCTTTGAGGGAGAGGAGAGAGTCGTGCTCAAGTAAAGTATGATCTACCCCCCCAAGTGTTGGTGGGGCTTACAATTTATAGTCGCTCTCCTAACAGATTTGGGTAAGATATTAGTAAGTAGTTGGCTAGTTTGTTGGATCTGGCGAGCTCTTCTCAACATACTAGGTAGTTGTGGTGCTCTCCATGAGATTCGGTCAAAGGATGAGGTGGGGTGTTGACCATCTCCAGGGCAGCGAGGATAAAGCTTTGGATGACCTTACTTACTCTCTTAGCTCTTTGAACTGCTGAGCTTGACCAGGCTGACTACACTGATGAGCTTGACCAGGTTGGCCACACTGGAATGGATTCGCTGGATCTCTTGAAGTCGGACTATAAACTTGAATTGGGCTTATAACATGAGTTGGGCCTTTGGGCTTGACCCATCAAAAATTCACACAATCTCCTCAGTTCTTGTTTTGG